ATGCACGTGCAAGTAGAAGGACAAGCTGAGTAATAGCCCAGCCCAGGTCCCAGGGCTCGTGTTGTCGTGGGCCTGAAGCACAGTGGGAGCAGAGGTCTAGGCGTCCTCTGCAACTGCGTGGGCGCTTGGCCCTCATTCATTAGTAATTGGACTCCTGTCAGTCTCTTGTCGGCTCATCTGTGGTGAACAGTCACGTTCTGGACCTTTTACTAGTGTTGCCCTTTGGCTTCTCTGCCTCTTTTAGGAATGGCATTTGCTGTCACGCTGACGTTATTCCAGATAAAAACTCTGTAATTAGTTCATCCTCATCAACACGCAGCATTACGCACAGGATGTGTTTCTGTGCTCTTAGATTCTTGCACTGCGTCAACTTGCCTCTCTTCCTTCTCCCACCATCCCCGTTCTGTTTAAGGATCAGTCTCCTTAAGTAGCTACTTTGTTCTGCATCACGCATCTGCGCAGGTAACCCGCTTCCCGATTTGTTCATGTTAATATATATCTGTAGGCTTTTGCCCACTCCAGACTTTGCTGTACTCTAAGCATCTTCCATACTGCTAGCCATCTGTCCTGACAAACACACAGTCCCAGGAATTGTCAAAGCCATGGCATCCCTTGGCAAGGAGTTGCTTACAATTAGCAGAAAGACTTTGTGTGTCGGTATCCACAGAGGATGTCCCATGACGCTAGATTATGTTCAAGAACAATCATAGGGCAGTTTTTTCTTCTTACTGCCACGTTCTCAGGATCTGGAGAGACCATCGCTGTAAATCTGCTCTGTGCTCTGGTCCGCCGACTCTGGCGATTTGTCTCTGGCTGTAAGCAGCACCCAGCACTTTGGGAGGATGATGGAGAATGCTCAAAAGGTGTCCATGGAAGATTGCAGCCTCGGGACGATTTCTGACACCTAATAGTTGGCTTAAGCCATGACCAAGGTGGTTTAGATCTGTTCCAAAATTCTTAGTATTCTAGCGCTGGGTACTCAGTGAGAGCTGACAGCCATTTGATCCAATATAGCTGCTTAGTGTATGTGTTCAGTGCTTGAATTAATATTTTCTTCTTTCTTGCATTTTTATTTCACCGTTCAATTCCCTGGACTGTGAGGCAGGGGAATGTTGAATAATTACCTGCTCCATAATAAATTAGTGTGAAAAGGCAACCGGTGCCATGCATCAACTTAAACTGCTGTCGGGTAAAGTTGCATTAATGTGTATAAATAATGTATATCTTTGTGGAAGAAGTTCTTTGTCTTTCTGATGAACAAATGGCTGATTGGAGAGGCCAAAAGACTGTATACCCTTGCTAAAAAGGTTTTGTTTTGCTTGTGCCTAGATTATTAAAGTGGATTTGTGAATCCTGTAACTGCAACTAGGAAATATCTTATTTAACGGAATGTGCTAAAGAATTTCAAAAGACCTTGTGAGATATCAGCTAACGGATGACTTTGTGGTTTGGGGACTGGTATCTCTTCCACCTCAGGAAGGATTGGGATTTCCATATGTCCTGGTTTTTGTATTTACATACGTTTTAAGGACTGATGCAAACTATACAACTGCCATTCAACAGCCAGTAATTCAGTCGTTGCTTTATAATAGGCAGCAAGCGTTTCACTCTGTGTTTTGGTTCAGAAATGGCTTGAAGAATAACCATGATAGCTGACTAATTAACAGCTAAACAGGACAGCAGTGTCACTGGCATTTAACTGAAGTAAAGATAAGTCACTCAATTACGACATTTGTTGAAAGTCTAAAAATTGACTTTGTTCATGAAAAAAAAAACCCAAATTGTTTTGCACGTTCTTAGTTTCCACAGCAGGTGGTCACTGAAAGCAGGTGGTGCAAACAGTCATTCCCATCCTGCTGCAGTGGCTGTAAAACAGCGTCTCCCGTGTGTTTCTGGGGGTCACTTTGGTCTTGGATGGGAAAAGGACTGGTGCTTAGGTAAACATTTGAAGCACTTCCAGTGTCCATATTTTTTACCATAATCCTAAAATCCTGTCTGTTCCACAGGTTATAATATTATAATATTATGTAAAGGGTGTAGCTATGGACAATCTTAACTGTCCCAGGCCACACTTGGCATCACTAATCACAGAATAAAACTTTTCTGTGCCAGTTCTCAGCAAATTGGCACGCACAAGAGAACCAATTAAACAAAGGGCAGGCAGATAGGGAATTCAGTGAGGGGAAGCTTGTCCAGACTAGCCTGACATCTTCATGTGTACAGTGAAATACAAATTGTACTTGCATATTATATCAGTATGAGGCTGACCCAAAGTGACCTGTTGTGTGTGTTCAGGTATTTCTAACTGAGGAGTTTGAATTCCTCACCATGATTAAAGTTCAGCCTGATTGTACACAAATGCTTTTTTTTTCCCAAATGCAACTTTTGTCAATGTTGTTTTTTCTTCCTATTCCCTTCTGTCTCCTTTTGTCACTTAGCAGAAGGAAGTTTATTTGCAAGGAGAGGGGAGGGGGAGAGAACTTCACTTCTATTCCATCTCAGTGCAGTATTTCTGTTCTAAGCCTGCAGAATGAAGCATTAGAAAAACAACTCAGTGGGGGAAACATTTCACTCGTCATTTTATACACTCACGCTGTCACTAGACAGAGCATGTAATATATCTGTAAAATGAGCAAAAGCAGGCCAGTATCCTGAGGCTTATGCCAGTCTCATTGAGAGAGGAGCCCAGCAGCCTGGAGCAGAACTCTTCCACCTTCTCCTACTGGAAGACTTGTTGTGACCATCAGATGGGCAGCAAAATCCCTGTAGATGTGTGGATGGTGGCTATACTGATGCCAATGTCTGTCTGTTCTTCTTTCGTCTCCCTGCTAGCTGAAGACTTGGAGTGTCGATGAACTTCAGAGGAGGCTCTCAGCCCTGGACCCCATGATGGAGCAGGAGATTGAAGAAATCCGCCAGAAGTACCAGTCAAAGCGGCAGCCAATCCTCGATGCCATCGAAGCCAAGAAGCGGCGGCAGCAGAACTTCTGAGCCACTGGTAGAATATTCTTCCATCCTCAAACAATCAGCTCCTTGCTCTTATGACTACTAAACAGATTGATTTCTATTGAAATATGCTAGCAAAATAGAGGGCAATACTTCTGCTCATTTATTTTTCCATAGCACCTTT